GGTGCCCCTCGGGTGTCCCCCCCCTGCCCCGTGGTCCCGCTTTGCCCTGGGGGGGAGCCGAAGGCACTTTGGGGGTGGCCATGAGAGGGGCTTGGGGGGCACCTCCTGCTTTGGGGGGGTGGTGGGGGCCCTTTGGGTCCAGTGATGGGGGCGTGGTGGGACCATGAGGGTGCCCAGGTGGGTCCAGGAGGAGCAGGAGATGGTGGGTGCCAAGGTGGGTGCAGGAGAACGTGATGGGTGCCAAGATGGGTCCAGCTGGGCCAAGCAAGAGATGATGGGCACCAAGATGGGTTGGGCAAGACCAAGAGATGATGGGCACCAAGATGAGTTGGGCAGGACCAGAAGATGATGGGCTCCAAGATGGGTGCAGGAGAACCAGGAGGAGATGGTGGAAACCAAGATGAGTTGGGCAGGACCAGAAGATGATGGGCTCCAAGATGGGTGCAGGAGAACCAGGGTGATGATGGGTGCCAAGATGGGTCCAGCTGGGCCAAGCAAGAGATGATGGGCACCAAGATGAGTAGGGCAGGACCAAGAGATGATGGGCACCAAGATGAGTAGGGCAAGACCAGGAGGAGATGGTGGAAACCAAGATGGGTTGGGCAGGAGCAGGAAGAGATGGTGGGCACCAAGGTGAGTGCAGGAGACCAAGGTGATGATGGGTGCCAAGATGGGTCCAGCTGGGCCAAGCAAGAGATGATGGGCATCTCAAGATGGGTTGGGCAAGACCAGGAGGAGATGGTGGGCACCAAAGTGAGTGCAGGAGACCAGGAGGAGATGATGGGTGTAGGAGAACGAGGGTGATGATGGGTGCCAAGATGAGTCCAGCTGGGCCAAGCAAGAGATGATGGGCACCAAGATGGGTTGGGCAGGAGCAGAAGGAGATGGTGGACACCAAGGTAGGTGCAGGAGAACGTGATGGGTGCCAAGATGGGTCCAGCTGAGCCAAGCAAGAGATGATGGGCACCAAGATGAGTTGGGCAGGACCAGGAAAAGAGGATGGGTGCCAAGATGAGTTGGCAAGACCAGGAGATGATGGGTGCCAAGATGGGTTGGGCAGGACCAGGAGGAGATGGTGGGCACCAAGGGGAGTGCAGGAGACCAGGAAGAGATGATGGGTGCCAAAATGGGTCCAGCTGGGCCAAGCAAGAGATGATGGGCACCAAGATGGGCTGGGCAGGACCAGGAGATGATGGGCTCCAAGATGGGTGCGGGAGAACCAGGGTGATGATGGGTGCCAAGATGGGTCCAGCTGGGCCAAGCAAGAGATGATGGGCACCAAGACGGGTCCAGGAGGACCAAGGAGATATTACAGTTGCCAAGATGGGTTGGGCAGGACCAGGAGTAGAAGATGTGTCCTGCAGTGGGTCCAGCAGCACCAAGTAGGGATGATGGGTGCTGAGACAGGTCCTTTGGGGCCCGGTGGTGTCAACGTGTGGCAAGATGGGTGCTGCCAAGGATGGGCACCATGATGTGCACGGGCAGTGACCTCTAGCTCCTCCAGCACCCCAGGATGGACAACTGGCCTCAATGGGACACGGCACCTCCCAAAGGGACCCCCAGCACCCACCCCTGGGTGCACCCAGCTCCACTTTGAGATGCACCCTGGTTGCACCCATGGTCTCCTTCCCTGAGGGCTAGGACTCTCCTGGCACTGGGACATTGTCACTCTGGTCCCCGATGTGCCATGTTCTCCAGGTGCTCAGCTTGGTGGCTTCTCCCAGCTCCCGAGGTGTTCCCTGCCCCACGGCTGCCCCCCAGCTCTCCTCTCAGCCAGAGACCCAACCCCAACGGAGATGTGGTGGGACCCGTTTGACTTCCCCCCCCATCCACGCCCAGCCTCCCCTGTCCCCCACGTTGTCACCTGCTCCCCAGGTCCCCGCTGGCACCCATGGCCACCCGGGCTGGAAATGCCACCCAGGATGGTCCTCGCCTTCTCCGTGGCTTCTCCGCCACCCTTGAAGACCCCCAAAGTGGCCAACCCCACCGGCCAGCGAAGAGGTGGGCAGTGAGATGGCCGGTGGGTCGGGATGGGGCATAGAGAATTGTCCTATGTCCCACCGGAGGACGGGCAGGTGGGGACAGGGTGCTGCGGTGTCACAGGGTGGGGGGACACCAGCCACCCAGCACCCTCCTTCTGCGGGGTCCGGCTTTGTGCTCCTCGGCCGAGTTGGGTGGGAGAAGAGGGGGGGTCAACGGTGTTGGGGAGGGGGACACTCGTTGGCGGCTGCTATAGGACGCCCTCCATGAAGCTGGTGTCGAGGTGCTGGATGAGCACCCGGATGAAGGACATCTCCTTGCGGGTGTTCTCGAAGATGATCCGCGGGTCGTCCGACTGGCAGCGCAGGCAGTTGGGGGCCATCACCATGGCCAGGTTATTGACGTCCATCTTGGTGACGGCCACGTTGGCCGGCTGCACGAAGACCTGGAGGTGGGGAAGGTAGGAGATGGGTGGAGGGAACCACATGGAGACCTCTCGGTTCTCTGATGAGATGAAAGGTCACCACGCAGGGAACCCCATGGAGGTCACCACATGGGGAACCCTACATCATCTTGAGGGAACCCAAAACCCCCTCCAGCAAGGTGACCAGGCTAGGAGAGGGGCCCATGGAGGTCACCACATGGGGAACCCTACATCATCTTGAGGGAACCCAAAACCCCCTCCAGCAAGGTGACCAGGCTAGGAGAGGGGCCCATGGAGGTCACCACATGGGGAACCCTACATCATCTTGAGGGAACCCAAAACCCCCTCCAGCAAGGTGACCAGGCTAGGAGAGGGGCCCATGGAGGTCACCACATGGGGAACCCTACATCATCTTGAGGGAACCCAAAACCCCCTCCAGCAAGGTGACCAGGCTAGGAGAGGGGCCCATGGAGGTCACCACATGGGGAACCCTACATCATCTTGAGGGAACCCAAAACCCCCTCCAGCAAGGTGACCAGGCTAGGAGAGGGGCCCATGGAGGTCACCACATGGGGAACCCTACATCATCTTGAGGGAACCCAAAACCCCCTCCAGCAAGGTGACCAGGCTAGGAGAGGGCCCCATGGAGGGTCACCACATGGGGAACCCCATATCAACTTGAGGGAACCCAAAACCACCTCCAGCAAGGTGACCAGGCTAGGAGAGGGCCCCATGGAGGGTCACCACGCAGGGAACCCCACATCAACTTGAGGGAACCCAAAACCACCTCCAACAAGGTGACCAGGCTAGGAGAGGGGCCCATGGAGGTCACCACATGGGGAACCCTACATCATCTTGAGGGAACCCAAAACCACCTCCAACAAGGTGACCAGGCTAGGAGAGGGGCCCATGGAGGTCACCACATGGGGAACCCTACATCATCTTGAGGGAACCCAAAACCACCTCCAACAAGGTGACCAGGCTAGGAGAGGGGCCCATGGAGGTCACCACATGGGGAACCCTACATCATCTTGAGGGAACCCAAAACCACCTCCAACAAGGTGACCAGGCTAGGAGAGGGCCCCATGGAGGTCACCACATGGGGAGCCCTACATCATCTTGGGGGAACCCTACATCATTTTGAGGGAACCCAAAGCCACCTCAAGAGAAGCAACCAAGCTGGAAGGTGGCCTCACATGGGACACGGAGGGGTGGTCCTCTCTGTACCTGGAGGAAGCGGATGAGGTAGCACAGTCCAAAGTCACCTCAAGAGAAGCGACCAAGCTGGAAGGTGGCCCCATAGGGGACATGGAGGGGAGGTCCTCTCCGTACCTGGAGGAAGCGGATGAGGTAGCACAGCACCATTTTGTTGATCCTGGGCAAAGAGTGGACCACAGCGATGGCCGCCTCGGGGTTCTCGTAGTGGGTGATGCACTGCTCGTAGAACTCGTGAGGGATCAGTGGTTCCTCCAGCTCCCGGTACCAGAGCTTCAGCAAGGAGGCTGGAGAAGATGGGGAGATGTGAGACCTGGGGGGAGTTGGGGGGGTGAAGGACCTGATTCTGTACCCCACACAACACCTTCAGAGGTCCTACCGGGAACGTGGGGGTCCTCCAAGCCGGTGGGGATCTTCCACTGGTCCACCTGAAGCTTGAGAGCGTTGACCTCGTCGATGTCACCGGGGACTCTGTAGGGGGAAGAGATGTTGGTCACCAAGCAGGAGATGGGGACCCACCTGGCTTACAGCCCCCCTGGGCTTTGGGGGTCCCCCGGGTGCATGTGGGGCTCAAGGAGAGCCAAGGGAGGACATGAGCTGGGGATGGAGCCATGTGGGGACCTGGTGGCTGCCCCATAGGGATGTGACATCCTGCTGCAATGTGGGGCTGCGTGCAGACCCCAAGGACCCTGGTGGGCATCAGAGCATGGTCATGACCTTGCCATGGAGAAAACCCCATGGCCTTGGAGCAAGGAGAAGTTGGGGGGCTGCTCTCTGCCCCATGGGAGGAGAAAAGCATCCATGAGGACACAGGGAAGGGGACAGCTGCCGCGTAAAGAGTTGACTCATGGTTTCCACCACAAGAAGTTCTGAACTGCCACCATCCTGGGGGGTTCTTCTCACAGATGTAGGTAGCTTTACCTGAAGATGCCCTCGGTTTGGTCCCCATTGAGGGCCAGGACCTCCTCGGAGAGGCGGGTCTGCACCCAGGGCAGCTGCCGGTCGGGGTATCGCTCCTTCTGCATGTTGATGATGTCCTGCAAGGAGCTGCCGAACATGGAAGGGTTGAAGACGGCGTTCTTGGCGTGGCGGATCTCCTCGATGTTTGGCTTCTTCAAGCCCTGAAGAAGAGACAAGAAAGGCCATCGGCACCATCAGGAGCTGCCACCGGTGTCCCCACAGCTCCCCATGGCCAGCTCCAAGGCTGGTTGGGATGTGTCCACAGCCCAAGACCATTGTGTGATGGGGACGTAGATGGAGACATGGATGAAGTCCAGTCAACTTGGTCAAGGTCTCCAGCGCCAGAAGCTCAGCATCAAAACGCAGCTGGTGGGATGGTGCCTCCACCCACCATCTTGATTCGAAGGTGAATCCAGCCCCAGGGACTCTCCCCGTGGTGCTTGGTAGGACCTCCACGCTCTTGCCATGGGGCCATGGCCATGCTGGAGCATCTACACCAATGAGTCATGTAGGGAGGAGGATAAGCCATGGATCTGGGATGGTTCTGGAAACCACCAGCACCGTGGTTGGTTTATCTACCCCTGCTTGAAGTGGGGACACCAGCACCGGACCCTGCTGGGCTGGTGGTTCAGTCACAGGAGGACATTGCTGTTCTTCCCACCACGCAGGAGATGTGCGTGGTCATGGTGGGACGCAGACGGGATGGATGCAGTGGACATGTGTGGTGGGATGGAGAAGAGGAGATGGACACAGTGGACGTGTGCGTGGTGGGACGTGGAAGAGGAGGTGGATGCAGTGGACATGTGTGTGGTAGGATGCAGAAGACCGATGTGTCCCCTCCCACTGCCAGGCCTCGTCTTGGCAAATGTCACCAGGAGGAGCTGCTGTGGACCAAGGAGTCCCACCATCTCCTCTCTGGCCCCACAAAAGGAAGAGGAGGAAACTGAGGTAGCCATGGTGGTGGTGGGACCATGAAGATCACCCCAAGCTTTAAATTAACCCTTAATCAGCTGCCACCCTGACAGCAGCGATAGCCCCTGGGGATGGATCTGGCTTGGTGACCTTGGAGGAGCTGGGGGTCCAGCAGGGCAGCCACCCCCACCCCAAAAGCTGGGGAGATGGGAGCTGCTGGAGGATCCTTCTCAACCTCAAGCTTTTGCTCCCAGGATCATTTATTTAATCCCTTGGTGATGGGTAGGTTTGGGAAGAACCTGGTGGACTCCAGAAGGTCCCCAGAAGGTGCCCAGAAGGTCCCCGAAAGGTGCCCAGAAGGTCCCCAGGTGGGACGCAGTGGGGTCCCCAGAAGGTGCCCAGAAGGTCCCCAGGTGGGACGCAGTGATGGGCAAACCCCATTGGAGATGCTGGAGCATCCTCACCACCAGTCTGGCACCACCCCCCATGCTGTTCCAAGTGCTCTCCAGCTTCATCCCTCCTCCTCCTCCTCCAGACTCCATCCCCAAACCCCAGCAGCCCCTTGGGTGGTCCTGGCCACCACTGTCATTTCCCCCCATGGCCAATGGTTGGACCATACCTTCTTGGCTCCCGTCAGAGCTGCCTTCTGCAGCTTGTTGTAGCAGTACTTGGCGTAAGTGCTAATTGCCACCCCTGGAAGAGAAAACAGAGAGCGGTGGGGGGTCAGGTCTGGGGGACAGGAGGAGGTCACAGGGGGGGTCTGTCCCCTTCCAAGGGGGGTGAAGCTCATCCCGGCTCCAGGAAGATGTCAGGGTCCCCCCCTGGGTGCGGGGCAGCACCGGTGCTGCTCCATCACCACTTCTGGGGTGGGTTTGAGGAGGACTAGGTGTGTCCACCCCCTCAGACCTTGTAGGAGGTGACCCCATAACTCAACCTGCTCCCCAAGAGCCTCAGACCTTGGAGAAGCCACCTACCGTGGAGCCTTGGAGCCACCTCAGCTCCTTCCTCTGCCTCTTGGGGTTCATTTGTCACCCCTCTACACCATCCATCCTCTCCTTCTGATGCCACCACTTCCACCTTCGTCCCTCTCCACAACATCCATCCTCTCCTGATGCCACCACTTCCACCTTTGTCCCTCTCAACATCATCCATCCTCTCCTGATACCACCACTTCTGCCCTCGTCCCTCTCCGCACCATCCATCTTCTCCTCCTGATGTTCTTCAACAAGGAGATGGGCCCCCTCAACCCTTGGGGCACCCCCGAGCTGACAATGGGCCCATCCCAAGGGAGATGCTACACATCCAAGAACCCTGGAGACCTAGTGGTACCTTCTGGACAACCCCAGAAGATGCTGTCAGGCCCATAAATTCTTCCAAAAGCCTAAAAAATAGGCAAATTGAACAAAAAAAAATCCATCATCAAGGACCTTCTCTTCTTTGGTAGCTTTGACGCCACAATTCCAGCCACTGGTCCTGCTGTTGGTGTGGCTTTTGTGCCACCAGAACTAGGCATCCTGGAGCATCCTGAACCCATCACGCTGGTGAGAATGGTCCAGGAGATTAAAATGTGCTTTTTCTATATAAAATTGGTACAAAAGAGGGGAAAAAAGGGTTCCTGGAGGAGTTGGTGGCCAGAAGCTCCTCGTTGTCCCGGCCACTCAACAGGCAATTTTTGGTTAAAACCAAACTTGGGGAATTGGGATCATCTTTTCCCTCCATCCCTGATGTCTTCAAAGGGTTTTGGGGTGTAATAGATGTTTGGGGGGGGCTGAAGCCACCCTGAAGGAGGAGTCTCAGGGGATGTCCAGGACCAGGTGACCCCCAAACCTGGCGTCCATCCTTTTCCACATGCTGGGGTCATTGAATCATGGAACAGTTTGGGTTGGGCAAGACCTTTGAAGACCATCTAGTCCAACCCCTGCCATGAGCAGGAACATCTTCAACGAGATCAAGCTGCTCAAAGCCCATCCATAGCATCTCAGAAGGGTTTGGGTTGGAAAGGACCTTTGAAGACCATCTAGTCCAACCTTGATGCCACCACCTACGTTGTTGATGAAGATTTTTAAGAGTGACCTTAATTAATGGATTCCGTTAAAGCCACTTCTTGGGGTGTCTCCACCCCCCCAGTCCAGGTCCCAGCCCCACCATCGCTGGAGCTCCTGGTTGAGGTCCCTCATCTTCCACAGGGAACCTCTTGGTTTCATCCAAGATGTTGAGCCTTCACCGGCATCTGGCTCCAGTCACCGATTCCCAGCAAACGCCCCCAAAACCCAGGGGGATGCTGGGAAAAGGGGCTCATCCCATGTCACCCCTCCTGTCCCACCAGTGACAGCACCAAGGATGGTGGTGGCCACCTTGGGGTCACCCAACAAGCGTCCAGAAAACCCATCAGCAGCTTCTACGTGGCTTAATTAAAACACCTACTTACCCCCTCTTGTTAATTGCTATTAAATTTATCTATTTATATGAAATATAATTATACATAATAATATATATATGATATATATATAATATTATATATTATATATAACATTATATATAACATTGTATATTGATAATTCTATGATCAAGATTCTATGATTGATATTTATAACATTATATAGAATAGTCTACATTTATACGTTATTTCTATTATTTGTATTATATAATACACTGTATTTATGTAAAATATTATATAGAAGGGTAGAGATAATCATATATAATGTTATATGTATCTATAACATTATATAGAATAGTCTACATTTACACTTGAAATTTGTTTATATGATATCATATTATCTTTATATAAAATATTGTATGGAATGGTAGATATAATTATAGATAATGTTTTATGTTACCTATAACATTATATATAATATTCTACATTTATACTTTTATTCATATGATATTATATATAATATAATATTATATCACAAGATTCTGTGATTCTATATCCATATAAAATATTATACGGAGTGGTAGATATAGTTATATATAATGTTTTATTTATCTATAACATTATATATAACATTCTACAATTGTACTTTAATTCATATGATAGTATATAATATTATATTTATATAAAATCTTATATGGAGTGGTAGATATAATTATATATAATGTTTTATGTTATCTATAACATTATATATAATATTCTACATTTATACTTTAATTCATATGATAGTATATCATATTATATTTATATAAAATCTTATTGGAGTGGTAGATAAATTATATATAATACTACATGTATCTATCTATAATATTATATATGAGCCTACATTTATATCTCTAATATTGTTGATATGATATATTATATTTATATAAAATATTATAGGGAATGGTAGATATAGATAAAGTTATACGCATTTATCTATAGCATTATATATAATAGTCTATATATATATATTTATTTGTTCGATATTTATGGTATCCTTAGTCATACTAAACATTTTATTATATAATAGATAAATTATATATAATAGTGTTGTATATTTTATATATCTTTATATATTTATATCTTTATATTGTCTTTATATATTATAAATAATATAATATATAAAGCATGATATAAATATTTATATTATATATGACATATAATATCGATATTACCGTTATATAAAATATACACTATTATATATTTGTGTGTAACA